TGATGATGATAATCCACAGAGAGGAGGAGCCTTGATTGGGGTGCAAAGAATTCGGTGGAATAGAAGTGGTCTGCTTCCAAATTAGAACTTTGTTATCCTGATTAACTTATTCGGGTGTGTTTTCATTAAATAAAGTTGTTCAGTTACAGAAGCTAAAAACTATGTGATGAAAGATGGTTTTATTACAAGGGACAGGATATTATGCGAGTGTTGTAATACGGTGCATTCCATCTGTTTTGCTTTTTCTTCTGTATCCAATGGTTTTCATGTACCTTTTCTACTTTTAATCAATTTTAAAGTAGTTTCCTAATATTTTTAGATTTTTTAATTACTGGAAAGAGCGCAATAATTTGTTTCCAAGCACAGACTACTGGTAACGTGCATCTAGTTGCTGGGTTTTATCAATGTCTAAGTATGGAAATGCATTAAGAGGTTTGTGGTCAACTTGAGCCCTACTGAAACTCAAATCATAATTCTCTTGGAACGAAGCAAATTGTAAATGTTCTTGGAATTAAGAAAATGAACCTTTTTTTACAATGTGGTTCAGGGTCTCTTGATTCCAGTGCGCGTGTCGGTAATCCGAGTTCGATTGTTACTTCAGATGCTTAAGTGTTTGAAGGTCGAGAAGCTCATTTTATGTGTTGTCGTGACACATGGACGAAGGGTTTTGAGCAAAACTAACCTCGTGCATTTTTCAGGATCCTTATGGCTGAAGAAGCCTGTGTGTCAGATTACGACAAATCAATAAAATGGTGAGGGTTCTTTGTATTCGATGTTTTGTTGATCCTAATTAAAAGAGCATGTTTGACGAAGCTTAAAAGTAAAACTAAAATAACATACCTAAACATGTTTGGAAAGTTAGTTAAGGCAAGCATCCTCTTTGTCAATTTCCAATTGTTTAGTACGTAGTATCTGCACTTTCTAGTATAATTTTCTTGGGTTCCTATCTTTTTTTTTTTCTTTTTTTTTTTTTCAGTATTTGGTTGTGGTTGTTTTTGGTTGTTCTGATTGGGTGGCTTTTCGTCAGCTGTTGATTGGGTTGTTTTTGTGAATTCTTAAAGTTTCAAACCCTAAAATGCTGCTTGGAAAATTTCCTGCTACAGACAAAGAGACATGTTCTTCGCTTACTTTTCGGTTGGTTGTGGACATGCGTTTAGGGCGTCTACAGTGTTCAAAGATTCCTCACCCTTTTGTAGGTGTTGTTTTTGTATGTGATGTTTTTGCTCGTTGTGTAACATCTCAAAATTTAATAAAATAAGATTATTTAGAGATAAGAATTTTGACTAGACACTTTTTATATATGAGTTTGACATGTTGAGACACTAAGTTCAAAATAAGTTTTTGACGTCAATAGTTTATTTGGGTCAAATAGTTAATTTTTGAAGAAGTGAGAATTATCATATCAATATTGGGCTCGTTGTAACAAAGGAAACTAGATGGTTTGGTCAAAATGAATTCTTATTTTGACTAAACAGTTTGGATAACTCATATTTAATCAGGTATATTAGGCTCAAGAAAAGTTAATTTAGAAAAAACTAGATCAAGTTAGAGCCCACGAAAGAAAGTTAGAATTAATGAAATTTTGAAGGAATTAGTCCCATTTGATTAAACAGGTTACGGCAATTGATGTTACAGTATATTTTAAATATTAGCTATAATTAATCTATACTTTAGTGCTTAACTCCTAATCTTATTATGCTTGGCCAAATCCGATTTCATTATATTTAGGCTCTCATCACCAATTTTAAGGATAAATTTGATTAGAATGCATGAAAGATTACTAATTCCATTTTCACTAGGAGACCATGACTATTTATACCCATGTCGACACCAACTTCATCTTTCATACTCATCAGATTTATTTAAAAAATAGCATACACACTATGGCCATCAGATTTTTATCTCTCATGTCTTCCTTTTGTACATAAAATTATAAATTTTCAACCCTTAACCCGTTGAAAGTGTATGTGCACACACTTATAGTCCATAAAGTTTTAGTCAATTAAACGAGAAGATCGAAGATTTTATCTTTTTTTAATGATTTTTTCAAGCTTTACGGCTTTTCAATAATGAAGTATGAAACTTCAGGCGCAAGTGGTTCATTTCCTTATGTTTTTATATATTAAGTGAACTATGCATGAATTGTTGGTGGACCATCGAGTTTAACCTAACGTAACGTGAACTCTTTTGGGTTATTTATAATGAGAACTTCTCTAGAAATCCGAAAGGAAACGAAATGCGAAATCCTTCGAGAACTCAAAATAACTGTTCAATGAGTGCCTCGCTTTTCACCGAAATACTCCAAATGAAATGTGGTATAAAATCTCTATTTTATTGATTTATTTAATTGTATATGAAAGTTGCATGTATCTTACTGAGTATTGTCAAATACTCACTCTTCCAAAAATTTATAGGTTATTGTTCAAGTATATCGGATATGCGGCAAAAAGGTGATTTGTGTTGCCAAAAGGACTGAAGATATAAAAGTATTAAGTTTTTCTATTTTTCAATTGATTATTTAGTTTTATTTTTGTTTAAAGACATGTTTATTTCGTAAGGAGGTTATTAATATTTTGGTTTCAAATAAATAAAAACTCCATGTTTTGATTGATATTTACTGTTGAAAATAGAAAAAATAATTTTTTTTTTATCTATTTTGCATTTACTTGAATAAAAGTTTTAGTAACAGTGTAGGATTTGTAAAAATTGTAGGTGTTACACGTTGTTTCCGTGTGGACTTGTTGCTTTGTTGGGCTTTTATCGAGTATATGAGTATTGGTCTATGGGGGTAATTAAGTTTGGGAACAATATATTTCTAAGGTGTTTACTTTACTCCTTTTCAAAAATATAAAAACAAGTTCCAAATTTCACAAATTAGGTTTTTTAATTTTTTATTTATGAAATAATGAATTGTTAAATCAATTTATTATTAAATATTTAATTCTAATATAATATAATTACCCAACCCCACATTCACCACCCTTATCGCTCTGGTGANTGAGAACAATACAATTCTAAGGTATTTACTTTACACATTTTCAAAAATACAAATACAAGTTTCAAATTTCACAAATCAGGACTTTTAATTTTTTATTTATGAATTAATGAATTGCTAAATCAATTTATTATTAAATATTTAATTTTAATATAATATAATTACCCCATCCTACCTCCACCACCCCTACCGCTCCGAGGACTATTCTAGCTATCATTCCGGTCACAACTCGTCTCCGACGACCATTCCAACGAATACTCCGATTTCGGCGACCATTCCGATGACTGTTCCGCCGCCACTTTGTTCAAGTGACTGTTCCGATTCCAACAAGTGTTCCAACTCCAGCAAAAATTTTTAGGTCACAATTCAAAATTTTCATAGGTTACAATTTGTTTACCGATCACAACTTAAAAATTTTAAAGTCGCAATTTGTTCATCGATCCCAAATCACGAAACCTATAAGTCACAATACTTATTTAGGTCACAATTTAACAAATTATTGGTCACAAATTAATAATTTTTAGGTCACACACCATGTATTGGCCACATTTTATCTAATTCATTGGTCACATGTCGTTTATTGGTCGCCAACCAACCAAATTAGTGGTCAAAAACAACCAAATTGTTTGTGACCACCACCAACATCATTTGTGACCACCACTTCGTCATCGCCTCCAGCAGCGACACCATCAACATCTCACCACTGCCACCAGCCGCTGCCAACACCACCATCGCCAACAACCACACAAATCATTCACGGCCAAATCGTAACTTCTACAGATCACCACCAGATTCGCCAAAAGCTCCAGATCTACTGCAAAACCACCCACCGCTGCCAGTATCCACCACCAACATCACCAAATTCACCTACACTACCACCAACAAAAAAAACCCCAAAAACCACCTCCACCACCAACCACCAAACCACAGATCCACAATCACCAACACCGCATAATCATCAACCACAAAATCACAGATCCACAATCAGTGTAACAACCCAAAACACGGAACAACAACAA